TATATCCAATTCAGATGCTGCATTTAAGATCCTTCAAATATATTACTCAGATAGCCGCGTTTATAGGTCCTAATGTTGGCCAGCCCCAGCGAAGTTAATTGGATATTCTATCATATTACAGAAAACAATTCAATGGCTTAAGGCAAATTGGCACCAGTTTATTTACAGTATACAGCAGAGATGTTGGTACACTGCTCTCATCTGCTTATTTGTTTTTGTGATTGAAAGCTGATTAAAATAGCTGGAAAATTGCTCTTAATTGCAATGGTTTTAGACAATGTTGTAACTGTTTTATGCTCCATTCACACTTCTCTGTGACTCGCTCATCGGGGTTCCCTGCAAATAGCTGCAGGCAGGAAGCCCCTTTGAAAGCCATAAGAGGCTGTCAAGCAAATCATCCAAAGCTGATCATCCTCAGGTAATCGCTGCATGACAGACAGCCTCATTCACAAGTGTGAATGGGGCCTTAAAGTAATATTAAAGGCTAATTTTTAAAACAACAAACACATTATACTTACCTGCTCTGTGCAATGGTTTTACAAAGAGCAGCCTCGATGGTCTTGCTATGGGGACACTTGTGGGTGCTTGCTCCCAAGCCCCGCTCTGTGTGTCCATAAGACATAGAGCGGGACTCAGCTCTGCCCCATGCTTCCTGTGAAGCTGTGATTGACAGCAGTGGCAACCAATGGATGCTGCTGCTGTCTCTCAGCCAATGAGGAGAAAGAGCTGGGAGAATGCATGAAGGTTAAAAAAACATTCATCCTTTACAACTACTTTATCTAAAGCCAAAACATTTATTCTATAGTTTTTGGCTTGTGCTAAATTCTGGTGAGGTTTTCTGGCTGTCAGTGTCCCTGCTGGGGAGATTTACCCACTCTTAGTCCTTCTGCCCCATTGGGGGTACCTGTTCTAAAGACAACTGTCTAATAGTGGACACAAATGTATCAATAAAATTCAATTGAGAATTCAATATGATTAAATTAACTGCTACCCGTCTGCCCTATAGCAGAAGTACTGCTACAGGGTGACACAGGTGCGCAAAATCATGTGTATGTATATATACGTGATTTTGCATTTCCGAGTAGGGGGAGTGCGTGCGCCCTACCCACGTTGCCATTCGCGGCTGTCAATCACCAGTTACCGGCCGGTGATTGCCAAGCATCTCCGATGGGGTGGAGAACTCTTTGTAAACAAAACCGCTCTCTTCCCTGTCAGCTCCTGCACACTGCTTTGTATGGCTGTGCATTGCATTTTATGCATTATGGCCCTGAGTTATTTAAACTGATGATTGTGCGGTCATGCAATGCTGCACCCAAATTAAATTTATGTTCTTTTTCCCCACAAATAGAGCTTTCTTTCAGTGGTATTTGATCGCCTGTGCGTTTTTTTTTTTTTTTATTTTTTATTTTTTTTATTTTTTGCGCTATAAAAAAAAAAAAAAAGACGGACAATTTTTTAGAATAAAACTATATTTTGGACTTTTTGCTATTAAATAAATATGTCCAGTCAAAAAAATTGCTTAGTGTGTTTACAGTGAAGCACAAACACAGCACAAAATTATAAACCGCACACAGTTAACACTTTGATCAGCCCACATGTTAACTCCTTCCTGCCCAGTGCCATTAGTACAGTGTCAGTGCTTTTTATTAGCACTGATCACTGTATTGGTGTCACTAGGGATGTCAGTGAGACCAAGTCAGTTCCCCTCAGTGTCAGAATGCCCACCGCACTCCCGCTATAAGTCGCTGATCGCCGCCATTACTAGTAAAAAAAAAAAATTCTGTATGTATGTATGTGTGTGTGTGTGTGTGTGTGTGTGTGTGTGTGTGTGTGTGTGTGTGTGTGTGTATATATATATATATATATATATATATATATATATATATATACCACCATTTGTAAACTATAACTTTCATGTAAACCAATTCACACATATTGAGATTTTTTTTTTTTTTTAGCAAAGACGTAGCAGAATACATTTTGGCATAAAGTTATGATGAAACTTGATTTTTTTAATTTTCTTTACTGAACATGTTTATTAGCAAAAAGTAAAAAATATTGTTTTTTTTTTTTTTTTCTCAAACTTCTTCTTCTTACTTTTCCTCTTTCTCTTCCTCCATAAAGCTCTATTCGTGGGAAAAGGGACATAAATTTAATTTGGGTAGAGCGTTGCATGACCGCGCAATTGTCTGTTAAAATAACGCAGAGCCGTATCACAAAAAATGGACTAGTCAGGAAGGGGGGGGGGGGGGGGGTAAATCCTCAGGAGAACATGTGGTTAACTGAATAAAAATGTCAAACAAAAACACTCCAATCAATTGATTTAGAGAGCTCTTGATCGATTTAGACTCTGCCACGTTGATCAGTTGTGATGGAAATTTGTAAATCGCTTCTGTTCAAAGAAACAAACATGTTGGAGAACTGATCATAATTCAGAGTAAATTTATTGTTTAATAGACTGTTTACATGTATAAAATGACTTGTATTTTTCAGTCTACTTTTTTTCACTAAACAATATGTACAGTATGTTGCATTTTTCGATAATTCACTGATAATAGACCAATTGCTTGCATTTTTGTATGGTTTTTACACTTGATTTCCCCATCAACACTGACTGACTGACTATGGCAGACTGTGGCTAGATGGGGCTGAACACTTGAGCCAGTGGTCAGCCATATGTAGCCACAGCCTGCCATAGACTTTAAAACCTTGTGTATTCAAGAACAAATGCACAGAACGTGGGTCTTTAGCCCTGTCTAGCCGCAGCCTGCCATAGACTTTGACGGGCTGCAGGGGGGAGGATGCACTGCACCTAAACAGCAATGGTACTAGATGCTCCACCTGTCCCTGCCAGATGCACTGCACCTAGATGGTACCATGTGCAAGGGGAATAAAAATGTTAGAAAAGCAAGAAAAAAGATTCAAAAATAGGACAGACTTGACCATTTTTGTATTTTTTTGTCATTCTTCTGTGTTTCTATGTTCAAATGACAGCAATTGGTACATGTGTTCAAAAATGCCTGATTGATCCCTTAAAGAGCTAATGGCCTGTGCCTTTTTCAGCCAACACAGACATCAGACCATCACTTGATGATCAGGCAGCCATCACCACATGTCTATGGCCAGCTTAAAGAATACACTGGATAACAGTAATGCTATGGCTAAAAAATCATCAGTAAATGCAGAGCAAGAATTTCCTTTAGTTTGGTTGTATCTGCCACACATTAGAAATCTATTTTACTACTTCCTGTCCAACAGTCTGCATTGCAATGATAAGAATGAGAATGAGATGGCTATGTTACACCACTGGCTGCTCTAAAACCACTGTACATGATACATATATATTATTTCAAATTTCCATAGATGGATATGTACACACTCAATCTCTCTCTAAATAAAAACTAATACTGTGCAGCGCTACACATCAAAACATAAATAAAAATAAATAAAATAGTGGATACTGTAAGTGATAATAATAATATGAAAAGTCCCAATAAAAAATGCTTCTGAATAAATATCCTTCCTCCTATGAACATCGGTACTCCAAACACAGAAAGCGTGCACAATTCCTCCACCAGATGTCTGCTCACCTCCAGCAGTGCTACCTCACATATATTATGCTTGGCCTAACCGCACTTTTGGTCCCAAAGTGGACTCTGAAGATCAACTTGATGAATAATGGATCCCAATGGCTCACTCCAAAGAACACCCTTCATTGGCAGTAATCATCATGAACAAAAAGCATAACATAGTGTTTACCCTTTAAAAAGCTTTATTTATCACAAAAACATCCACATATAACAGGTGCCAGACCGCATCAAGTATAAAAAGCATCCAATGAATATCTCCACAATCCCAAGGAATCTGTGCCTTCCAAATCAGCTACAATCAACTACAGTGGTATATGCTCCAGCAAGACGCAAGATCATGAAACATATGACACGATAGCAACCAAAGGCCCTGAAAGTGTTACCAGAGTACCCCACGATCTTCAGAGTCCTGGAGGGATGTATACCCCTGCTGTGATAAACACCGACCTCCCGTTGCATTGTGACGTCATCCGCAAGCTCCTCCTGACGTGTTTTGTCACCGATCACGTGACTTTATCAAGGGGACCTGAATCTCTCTCTCTCTCTTTCTCAATACCTGTAGCTATTATGGATAAATATACCTGTAATTAAAATATATTTGAGCAACAATTGCTCTGTGGGATACAATGACCGCTACAAACAACCTCAGAAGCCACCATAAGGAAAAAAGCTATTGGCATAGCTGCTAATTTAGCAATCAATAGCCTCTTGTCCAATGCTAAAAACAGTTCATTGTAAGATGACGATTACAGGATAATAGGGTCAGCGAAACTCAAGATTTGTTTTCTAATCTCTTTCTTCCCTCAAGTGGATATAGACATACACCATCAGTGCTTTCTAAGATTAGACATGGGTCTTCTGCTTCTGTTGGAAATCTGCCTCCACTTATATCTGTGCACATTACAAGGGTAATATTACGGTAGCTATAAATGTTATGTAACCATTCTTTGTGTATAAGGACAGCAGCATCCACCACCAGCTGCAGCATACCACCATCAATGTAAAAAGTGGAGAATTTTTACCTGCTTCTTTTATAGTCATAGTAATCTTGGCAGCTGAGTTCAAATTTAGAGACGACCAATGCCTTTGTATTGCACCTTTTTAATATGGTGTGTGACATAAATGACCAAAATGTTGGTAGGGTATGGAGCCAAGCCAAACTTTACAGAAGTCACAAAATAAAGGTTGAGGAAATGCTTCTTCCTCTCTGCTGCAGTGATCACAACATCTTAGCCCAGGCAAAGCATCTTAACAAGAGCTCAAAGGATTTTTTTTTTTTTTTTTTTAATAAAATGCGAAGTTTGTTGAATTATTATATTGTTGCTGTATATTTTGACAAGTTCTTTGCTCATGCCAATTTGTAAAGTTACTGATGGGTCTAATTTATGTCTCTGTTTACCTAGAACTGTCATGCAGTCCTGGTTGGTGCTTACCTTGCTTATCGGAGGCTATCTGATCTACCTCCTACTGGGAGCATGGGTGGTCTCCAGCATTGAGGCTCCATATGAAGGAAAACTAAGAAAAGAGCTAAAACAACTGAAACAGATGTTCTTAAATGAGAGTCCATGTGTCAATGAGAGTGGATTAGAAGCTTTCCTTGAGAGGGTGATCAGTGCCAACAAATATGGAGTTTCTGTCTTATACAATGCCTCCAGTGACAGCAAGTGGGATCTGGCATCCTCCCTGTTCTTTGCCAGCACCTTGGTGACTACTGTTGGTGAGTAGCAATTCAAAGAGGCACATGCCTGTGTTTAGAGGATATTTTAAAAAGTGCATAAAAATTGGACTCCTTTTTTTTTTTATCCTGGGGATGGAACTGAGTGGCCATGAACATCTTTGTCATAGGGGTGGAATGGTAAAAACTTTCTTATGGATTATTAATATTGAATTCTGGCCCCAACATATACAAGTTCTGAAGGTCTCTGACACCAGAGAATCACGGTTGTCGTAGGTGTATAATCAGTTAACTTGTTTTATGCATATTTCCTGGTGGCTTCCCTTCAATCATCAATCCCACAATGCAATGTTTGTTGTTGAAGAGGACTCGCCCTTGTGACATTGCCTCCACCTGTCACAGATCGACCCTGTTCCTGTACCGGCCACACTGCAGGCCAGATGTAAGTATATCACAAGCAGACAGGCAATGAGCAGGATACTGTAACCCGCCACTCTGGTTACACACAGGAAACTGAAGCAAACAAAAGAAATCTATAGGACTCTGTAATCACATTTAATATCCAACTAGACACAAAGAAATACAAAGATCTCTGTGTAAACATCTACCCTGTGCAAAGAGTTTATCTGTAATATCTTACAGCAAATAGCCAGGAATACTTCAAGAGAACTTGCTCATGGTGTCAGCAACCTGTGTGATTAAGCGACTGTGGGTTTGGTAGTGAATCCTTCTAAAGGCAAAAGAATACTAATTGTCAAAACATGAATAGTGGGATATAATAGATCAGTCCCCACCTAGGACTAGAGAGTACTAATAACAAATACACAACATGTCATTCTTTTTTTTAGGACCAGACAGTACTAATGACAGCGACATAATGGGGAGGATTTACTAAAACTGGTGCACTTGAAATCTGGTGCAGCTGTGCATGGTAGCCAATCAGCTTCTATTTTCAGCTTGTTCAATTTAGCTTTGACAATAAAATCTGAAAGCTGATTTAGTTTCTATGTAGAGCTGCACCAGATTTTGCACTCTCCAGTTTTAGTAAATAAACCGCAGTCAGTCCATCTCCACTTAGTACCAGAGAGTACTAATGACAGTGACATGATAATGGGTCAGTCTCCTCCTAGAACCAGAGAGTACTGATGACACTGACCAGGGCCATGGATAAGGGGGTACCACCAGTCGTCCTGTACAGGGCCCAGGCCAGCAGGCTCAGGCAGCTGGGTGAATCAGATATGGGCAGGGAGGATGATGGGCACAGCTAGGGGGTAATTACTGAAACTGATCCCTGTATGGCTTTCACTGCAGCAGCTGAATGCTGGCTTCTTCTCCTCTCCCTTCCACTGGCTTTCAGCTGCTGCAGAGAGAGGCATGCAGGGGATCAGTTCCAGTAATGCCCCCCCGCAGCACCCATCACCCTCCCTGTGCACCATACATTTCCCCCTGCTGCCCAGGCCCCCCTGTGTGCCCTCACCTCTGCAGTGCTGCCGGCTTCCCTCCTCTTCTTCTCACCGGCAGCTGCAAGAACACAATAGGATTCTTCATGATGGAGAGTAGAGGAAAGGTCTGGTAAAATATGTTACATTTATCAGCCCCTTAATCCCCTGAATTAACACAGTTAATGATCGATACGAATCACTCACTATGTTCATTCATAACTGAAGCATAGTAAACTGTATACTTTTAATTTTTTTTCTTAGGGGGGGCACTGTGAGGTTGACTGTATGGGGCCCCGTGGTTTCTATCCGCAGCCCTGACAGTGACAATATGATAGATAGTTATCCTTCTAGGACCACAGTGTAATAATGATATAACAGGTCCATCTGTCTTTAAAGTGATTCTAAAGGCTTATTTTTTTTAAAGAAAAAAAATAACAAACATGCCTATACTTACCTGCTGTGTGTGTGGTGGTTTTACACAGAGTAGCCCGAATCCTCCCCGCAGGCTCTCCTGGCCCCTCCCTCCTGTGGGGTGCCCCCAGAGCAAGCAGCCTCTTGTCCATTCACACATGGAGCCTTGGCTCAGCCCCCTCTCTTCTCATTGGTTCACTGGCTGTGATTAACAGCAGTGGGAACCAATGGTCCAATGAGAAGAGGGAATCCCGGGATAGCCCAGACTCCAGTGCACATTGCTGGATCGAGAGGGGGCTGAGGTGTGTATTGGGGGGGTTGGGGGGATGCTGCACATAGACTACATGAAGGTAAAAAACTTGAGCCTTCAAAACCACTTTAACCACTTCAATACCGGGCACTTATACCCCCTTCCTGCCCAGGCCAATTTTCATGTTTCAGCGCTCTCACACTTTGACAATTGAGCGGTCATGCAAGACTGTACCCAAATTAAAATTTTATCATTTTGTTCACACAACTAGAGCTTTCTTTTGGTGGCATTTAATCACCGCTGGTTTTTTTGTTTTTTGCTAAATTAACTAAAAAAGACCAAAAATTTTTTTTAAAAAAGCAAGTTTTTCTTTGTTTCTGTTATAAAAGCAAATAAAAATGTGTTCTTTATAAATTTAGGCCAAGATGTATTCTGATACGTTTCTTTGATGAAAATAACCCAAATCGGTATTTATTGTTTAGTCTGTAGAAAAGTTTTATAGAGTTAACAAACTATAGGATATATCTGAAATTTGATCAATCCTGAAGTACTGACAGCCAATCTAATTTCTTGAGGCCCGAAAATGTCAGAACAGTACATATATCCCCCAAATGACCCCCTTTTGCAAAGTAGACAGTCCAATGTATTTCATAAGAGGCATGGCGAGTTTTTTGAAGTTATAATTTTTTGTCATAATTTTTCAGAAAATGTTTTTTTTTTTTTTTTTTTTATGTACTGTCACCAGTGCAGTACAGTGTCATCATATAACTGGTGTGGTGGTGATCAGGGACACTGACAGCACGAAAAAAAAAAAAAAGTTTTCTATTTTTTTTTAAATTTTTTTTTTCATATTACACTATGACCAAAGTAGTATAATGTTACCATAGTAAAATTGTACTACTTTGGGGAAGTAATCAGTATTTTTTTTTCACACAATTTAATTGCTTATAGCAAAGAATTTCTTTAACTGAATGAAATCAACTCATTCAGCTTTTATTTGTTGTGATTAGCTGTGATTGGCCACGTCTAATCACATGACACAGATGGGCTGTGATTGGCCCAGCCTGTTCATGTAATCGCTGTGACCATTCACAGCTAGGCCTGCTGTGATTGGTCACAGCAAGTCACATGGTACTGGCAACTGGGCCGGTACACAGATCTGTTGTGTGTTGTTGTGTTTTTTTTTTGTTTTTTTTTTTTTATCGGGTGCCCAGCATCCATAATTGCATGTCAGAAAGAAAAAGAAAGAAAGCTATGTGGGTGGGCTGGGATGACACATTGAAAGTGCAAGTTCACCTTTACAGAACTCTACGGTCACCTTACACTGGACCCCTTCCCAATCCCCCCCCCCCCCCCCAATCCCGCTGTACCAGTGTCCTGCGATCCCCCGCTGTCAGGCATCGGGACACCTCTTCACCAGTCTGGGTATTTGAAATCCCCACAGCTTTCTCTCCTCTTCTCCCACCACTGACAGGACAAGCTAGACTGTTTCTGATTGGTCAGCACCATCCATGTGACAGTTCTGACCAATCAGAATGCCTCTTGTCCATACGCTGAGAGGTACAGATAGGAGATTAAGCCATGGGGATTTCAAATCCCAGGATCAGTGAAGCAGGTCAGCCTGATCGTGGATGGCTGACAGAAGCGCAGGTGTCAGGATGCAATTTCTAGTCGCAATGGCGACCTGATGCCTGGAATTTGTCAAGCCCTGTTTAACAAAGTAACATAAACATTTAAGCACAAGAATATAAAAATCTGAAATTCCCAGTGATGTTTACGGTAAATTCTATAATTACACTAAATGTACTTATTGGAAATGTTTCATGGAAAAAACTGCTTGGCCTAATCTCTGTGTTATGTGCATGTTGGAGAGGATATAAACCATTTAAAGTACTGCAGCGCCGGGTCTAAGCACACCCACCAAATCTTCATCAGAACACCCCACAAGGAAAGATGGAATTTACTGCTGGGTGTACCATGTTACAGCACTCGGATACATGTCTGCAGATGGCAACTGACCAGGGATAGAACTGGAGCACAATACACAGTTGATAGGCAGTATTAGAAACAGGAACAGTGAACAAGTGTGCTCCGATTCAGGTTGAACTTGGTAACCGGAAAAACAGGAATACAGGAGAGCAGGAACTAACGCAGACTGGAGTTCTGGGCTAGGAGATATTTCGTTTACTCATGCAATAGTGGGGTTTACCAACAGGCTAAGCGGGGACCAGTTTCATAGGTGCTATCTAAACTTCAGGTAAATTCCGACAACAATGAAACCTCCCAGCCTGTGACAAAGTAGGAGAGGACACATAGTGGTAGATCCACAAGTGGCAGATCGGCTTTGCTGCTGATCTTTGACGAAAAATACTATAGAGACAGTAGAGACAGTGAAATAAGACCTGAAGTGCAATAATAACCGTACTTAGAACCAAAATGTTTTAATGTCAGTGATATGGTAATAGGTCAGTGTTTTGCAGGAACAGAGCATAATAATGACATATATGGTAAAGTGTCATTCCCTCTTAGGACCAGAGTGTAATAGTGACCTGGTGATGGGTCACAAAGTAGAATGTGTAAGTGTACAATCCAAACGCACATGTTCCTGCATTAAAAATGGCTGTGTGTATAAGTGGGTGCTGCAGCGACCGTCGGCTGGAACCGAACAAAATCCGCAAGGAAAAATGTCACCAGTACACCGAGGATCACCAATATGGGTCCAAAGGTTTTAATGAACAATCATAGTTACAGCAAGGCAACGTTTCGGAGTCACGCAGGACCCCTTCATCAGGCATGTGACGACACATTGGTAATCCTCGGTGTGCTGGTGACATTTTTCCTTACAAAGTAGAAAGTGTCACCAGCACAACATGAAACTTATTTGAATAGTCTAATTTATTTAAAGGATAAGTTCACCTTTGGGAACATGTCACATGTTC